AAAAAAAAAAAAAAAAAAAAAAAAAAAAAAAAAAAAAAAAAAAAAATCTTAAGAACCTGGTCTTTAAATCCTAGCCATTTCTTCGAATTCAAATATAAATGGCCCGCTAGACCACCTGCTGCAAATCTTCTTGAAGTTTTCTTTGCATAGTCTGGGTCCAATGCAATTGCCTTCATAGGGCGATGATACTCAAACCTCATTTTCTCATCAGTGAATAGACTATTTATTACAACAGAACCATCATCCGAACAGCTTCCTACATATTCACCTTCTGTATCAAAGCTGAGGTCGTTGACTACAGCAGTATGAGCAGGGAATTCCTTGACCTAGGAAAAATAAAATCGAGCATGATTAGCTTGTGCACCAATAAATGTATCAGCCACCAATGAATACTTTCCATTCTGAGCCCAATCAAATGTAAAATCACGTGTACATCTTAACCACAAAAAGTCAGTTTGATGATTCATAGATTTTGTTCTTTACCACAAAGTATAATCTGATGATGGATAATTGAGAAGCAGCAAGTACAGATAGGAATAGGAGACATTGTAAAATTGCAGCGCAGGTTTGTAAGACAGTATCTACTTTGGTAGCACAAAATTGAGCCACATCCATGAACGAACTATCATAATCTCAAAATTTGCACAACTCAGAACTGAAGCCAATCGCAAACCCAATTCCCAAAAGAGAAAACTCCAAATTTTTCCATCGTATCATAGCTACAAAGAAGCGAAAGATTACCATCATGGAAATTCTATCCACACAAGGCAGAAGTTTAGCAAACAAAGAAGAAATTGTATCAAAATTTGTCCTTATACACAAAAGACAATGCCCTCTATGAATTTCCTCACGATCTAGACTGGAGACCTATTGAGGTCGTTTTCAGGACCGGATGGTTTTACCTTAGAATTCTTCCAGAAATGCTGAAACTTTATGATGAGAGCTGATATCATGAGAGTATTCCATGATTTTTTTCGAAAACGGAGTTATTAATGGAAACCTGAATGAAACATACATATGTTTGATCTCAAAGAAACTGGATGCTCGCACTGTTGCAGCATTTCGTCCCATAAGCCTCACGACCGGTCTATATAAAATCATAGCAAGGGGATTATCAAAACGCCTTAAAAAGGTTCTCCCCTTCACAATAACGGGGCAACAAACAGCTTTTGTTGAGGGGTGACAAATTCTTGATGCATTCCTCATGGCCAACGAACTCATTGATGAATGGGAAAGAAAGAAACAAAAAGGTGTAATCATTAAGCTTGACATGGAAAAGGCCTTCGACAATGTTGATTGGACTTTCCTCAAAAACATTCTTGTGGCAAAAAGCTTTGGCCCAAAATGGCAAAGGTGGATTAAAGGATGCATCTCATCCACAAACTTCACCATCATCAATGAAAGACTGAGAGGGAAGATTTATGCCACACAGGGCCTGAGATAAGGAGATCCACTATCCCCTTTTCTCTTCATCATGGTAATGGCTGTCTCAGTTGCCTACTGACAAAAGCCAAACACGAAGGGCAGATAAAAGGTTTTCAGATTGGTAATGAAGGCTTGAGCATAAACCACTTTCAGTTCGCAGATGACACAATCCTCTTTTCTGATTTGGTGAATGCCTCTTCCATAAAAAACATGATTGAGACGGTAAAAACCTCCGAAGGATTCTCTAGACAAAATATCAATCTCCAAAAAAAAAAGATCATGAGCATCAATATTAGCATATATGGTTGTAAAAAGAGAGAATGACCGAATATGTACCTAGGACTACCTCTAAAAGGAAATCACAAATCTTTTTCCTTCGGGAAGATTATTATTGAGAAAATAGAAAGAAGGTTATCAACATGGTCATCACGTTATACTTCAAAAAGCGGAAGACTTACCCTAATACAAACAACATTATCTAACTTCCCTACTTATTACATGTCTCTATTTGAAATGCCACAAAAAGTGGCCATGGATATAGAAAGACTTTTCAGAAATTACTTGTGGAAAGATGGCGCACACCTTGTTCGTTGGAATATTATACTTCAAAAGGCGGAAGACTTACCCTAATACAAGCCACATTATCCAACCTCCCTACTTACTTCATGTCTCTATTTGAAATGCCATAAAAAGTGGTCGCAGATATAGAAAGACTTTTCATAAATTACTTGTGGAAAGGTGATGCACACCTTGTTCGTTGGAATATTATAAACCTCCCTACAGAAAAGGGAGTCCTCGGTCTTCTCTCGATAAGGACGGAGAACACAGCTCTCCTCGCCAAATGGATATGGAGATATCATCATGAAGAAAAGGCCTTATGGAGAAATCTTATAAAGGCTAAATATACTCCTACATCAAACAAAGATCATCCTCCTCCATCTTCTACAAAAGGGTCTTGGAAGTACATAAAGAAACATCAAAATCTCATCACCAACCGAACTTGCCATAAGGTGGGGAATTGGGAAGCACATCATTTTGGACCGACCCATGGATTGGAAAAACCACGCTAGCCTTGAAATATCCACTTTTGTATAGGCTCTCTCATAACAAAAAAAAAAACCATGATTAAAGAAATGGGGAATTTTGTCAACAAATTTTGGGACCTGAAGCTTGATAGGAATCTAAAGGATAATGAAGCAACGGATTGGGCCAAATTAGACCTTAACCTTGCCCCTGTGATATTGTCAAACAAAGAAGACTCATTAACTTGGCTCTCCAATGTTGATGGGGTCTTTTCTACAAAATCCTTGATGATGGACATGGGGGAAAAAGTAGAAGCAATAAATCTCACGCTAGCAAACACAATATGGAAAGAACATCAACCTAAAAAGGTGAAGTTCTTCCTTTGGGAAATAGCGCATAAAGCCATCAGCACAAGTGACAATTTTCATAAAATAATGTCTTACATCACTCTCTCTCCAAATTGGTGTCCACTACGCAAGAAAGAAAACGAATCACAAAGTCCCTTGTTTATGCAATGCACATACACTCAGAAATATGACAACGATTCTTAATATTTAGGAAGGCATCTCACATTTCCTAGGGAGGTAAAAGATTTTTTGGATATGGCCTTGACGTACCACCCTTTCAAGAATGCAAAAGCCCTATTATGGAAAAAGCTCATCATGGCTTTCTTTTGAAATCTATGGAAAGAAAGAAATCAAAAAATATTTACCGAAACGACACAGACCTACACAAACTTTTTGACAATGTTGTTTACCATGCTATATCTTGGTGTAAACTATCTAATATTTTTACTTCCTATAGTTATACCTCCCTCATGGCAAATTGGGAAGGTCTTTTATAAACACCATGGATTATACATCCCTCTTGTAAATTTCACTCATCAATGAAATTGTTTCTTATCAAAAAAAAAAAAAAAAAAATTCCCAAAAGAGAGAAAATAATTAGAGTCAAATTTCAGCACCAATTTAAACAAAAGAAGCCAACCTGATTCCCCAGAAAATCGAGAATATGAATGGTACCGGCATGAGTCCCAAGCGCGATCATCCGCTCAGCAACGGCAAGGCATGAAGCGGCATCACTAGCGAGCAGCGAAGGTACACTTCCTCCCATTCTCTGATACTTGAGCCTCGGCTCCATCTCGTCATCAGCCATTTCTTCTTCTTCCTCCTCATCTTCCTCCTCATCTTCCTCCTCTTCCTCCTCCCTCTCATCATCACCTTCGACACTGTTTTCCGACAGAATGGGAGCCATTGTGATGTATGTCCGATTCAGATTGTCTCGATTCGTCACAGGAGGAAAGTTGGAGTAAATGATTGAAGTGTGGACCACTGCAAGAAAGTTGACAATTTTCAAAGGCTACAATCTTCAAAAAGGTAATGAATGAACTTTAGATATATCTTTTTTGGAAGGCTAATTCGACCTCTAAAATGTGTTGAAATAGATCCCGTCGAAAATCTCTTCAGGGGTTCATTAACCTTAAAAAATCAATATTTTGTGAAGGTAACACGTTCATCTATAATTGCCAAATTGTGGGCTGATAAAATAACTTTTAGACGAAATATTTTCCAAAGGATTTTATTATCTGCACGCTAAGGTTGTAATGTTATTCTCAAGGATTTTATTATCTGCACGCAAGGGTTGTAATGTTTTTCTCAACCATTTTTAAGCTTTCAAAAGTTATTATTTATCAACGATTTTCTTTGGAAAAAAGTATATATAGTCGCCCAAAGTAATCATTTCTGACGACTAGTTGAACCTTTGAAATATCCTGCGGTAAGATTATTCATTTTATCATAAGAGTTTAATTGAATTCAAATCATGGAAATTACTTTAAAATCCCATAACCTCGTAATTTTCAATACTCAAAACGTATGTTGAATCACATCAACACAATTTTAGAACGTATTGGACTGGCTACCAAAATTAAAATTGGCAAGTTCTAATTTTGACTCAGTAATGGAATTGAGTACTAACCTAGATGTGTAAAGGAAATGAACAAACGAAATAACTGCCTTGAAGGGGGCACTGAGAATTTGAATCACTTTCTCGAAGCTCTAGCGCATTCATTCTCCGGCAATGATGTTTTCTGGTACGGATGAAACAAAGGCCCATAATTGAAATTGATTCAATGGAAGCACGAAAACCCAACCAATGCAAATTCAAGAAAATTGCAAACGATAAATTGAAAAAAGGAAGCTCCCTTCCCGGATGGGTGGAATCCTAATCCATTAGATCTAATTGCAATCAACCGACACTAAGGCAAAACTTCTTTGTTGATCATTCAATGCGATGTATTACTGTTTTAACTATTTTAGTTATCTAATCAGTTTATTTTCTCTGTGCAATGCCTACATTTAAACATCGGTGTTAGACATTTTTCCAAGAGATAAAGAAAATTGGAACACTTCCTATAGTTCTTACAAGTTACGATGCATTTATAGAGAAACCGCCAATCCAGAGAAAGCCACAACCAAAAAGGAAACAACAACATTTATTAATCACTCAAAGAATCTATTTAATCGAACTCCCGTAGTTTTGTAAATTTCACACGTTATCCGAAATTTAAAAAAAAAAAAAAACAATTGAAATGAAGAGAGATCACCAAGAGATGCAACACCACGATTATGAATTAAAAACAGAACAAGGATACCAATCCGAAAACAAGCAATGCTGACCTCACCTCCGATGCGAGTCAAAACAATCCACCTCCGATCGAGAATATAAAAAGAGACGGCGAATCAGGCATTTGAGAGGAGAGAGAAACTTTCAGAGGATGGAATGAAACAATCGCGGTGGAGGCAGTCGGCAGCGCCGGCGATCGAGGCAATCAATGTGGAGACGGAGGGGACAGCAACGATTCGAGGCAATAACAATGGAGGGAGAGAGAAGGTTAAAGAGATGGCCTAACAGTAAAATTAATTTTGTTTTAAAAAATGAAAACTATATTACTAACAAAAGAACCAACAATGAGAAATACATCATTATTCTCCGCAACGATATGATAATTGTCATTTTACATAGTGTTCCTTTGGGCTTTCCGAAAGGCCTGCAGTGGGACTTTTATTCAACACTTCCCCTCGAACAAAATACGTTTTCCTTTAATCAAGGCTCGAATCTTTTTATTTTGGAGTTTTAGTCATTTTTTACTATACCTTCGAGGAGTCTCGCCTTCTTTTTTTTGGAGTTATTGACATGGCTAAATTTAGGGCCTCCTTTTCTTTTGAAGTGTTTGTTCTACATTTGAGGATTTTATTGACATGACTAAATTTAGGGCATGACTCTGATATTAAGTTAGACGAACACAACTCTTTACAATTGTATGATATTGTCCAGGCTTTGCTTTGGGTTTACCGAAGAGCTTCAAACCAATGTAGAGAGTATTCCTTCGTTATAAAACCAAGATCATAGCTGATTTTCATCCCACATAAGTTACAATAATATTTGCTCTCTAATTTTATCTCTTTTTACCTGCTTCTAGTTGTTTTATAATTACGGTTCGTAACCCATCAAGCGAAGAAGCCCGAAGCCCCCAAGCCCGAAGCCCCCAGCCAGCATACAGCAAATGTTAAGCCCAAACAATCTAGGTCCACGAACCCCCACTGTCTAGTGTCATGGTCATGCTCGTCCAGGGCGTGTTGCCCATGGCCACATGTCCATGGCAAGCCAAACCCTTGCCATGTCTTTTCATTCTAGTGTTTTTACTTTTGTAGTTCTTGGGTGTATGACGCCTCAAAAATATCATGTCTAGGCTTGCCAAACATGAAATACCTCAGAATGTACTATAAGGGATATGACTAGTTGTCAACTTCTCCCTACCCAAGGTTATATATGCTAAGTCGTTGTTATCTCTCTCTTGCTTGCTTATATAACGTCTCTTTCAAAAATCTCTCTTTCTAAAATCTCTCTCTACCCTCATTTTCTAAAACCTTCTTTTAAAACCGAGGCTAGAGGCTCGATCATACGTCGCTTGGCCGTAGGCGACGCAAGAACAAATTGGCTTAGCTCACTTGTCGTTGGAAAGTGAGTGCCGCACAATCGCTAGTTCGCTGCCTTCAAAAGTGCGATTGTGTCAAGTGGTATCAGAGCTTTGTTAGCTCCGTGACATAGTAAAGACCGAAACCATGTCCGCGACAAAGTCGTCACCCAAAGCACAAGCTGACCGGCTTACGCTAATAGAGGAGGAAATGTTGTTCCTCAAAGAAGTCCCTGACACCCTCCGCTTCCTGGAAGCACGGGTGACCGAATTGAGTGAGAAAGTCGTAGAAATCGACGCAATGGACAACCGCCTGGATGGGTTGCCAATCGCAGAATTGATGTTTCGAGTGACCTCGCTCGAAGAAAGAGTTGCTCCTACGAGCAACCCAAAACCGTCTGGTAGTCCGGATAGCTCTGTCGCGCACAAGGAGGAACGTGGCGAAGAGTTCGACGTGCTACAAAATACAATGATGAGCTTGTTCAATGGATTAGCTGATGAATTTAGAACAACAATCGACGACATCCAAGAAATGATGGCCTCTATGGGCACTCGAATTGAAGTGACCATGAAAGCCGTGGAGAACGTCACGGCTGGGCAAACTAATACAGGGTCCAACAAACTAAGATTCCCAGATCCTAGAGCCTTCAAAGGGAATCGGGACGCCAAAGAGTTGGAAAACTTCATCTTTGATGTCGAACAGTACTTCAAAGCCACAACGGCTTGTACCGACGACAAGAAGGTGACCGTAGCCTCGATGTATCTCATAGACGACGCCAAACTGTGGTGGCGTACGAAGGTGCAAGACATCGAGGATGGATTGTGCACCATTGACTCATGGGAGGACCTCAAGAAAGAGTTGAGGGACCAATTCCTCCCCGAAAATGCAGGACATATAGTAATGGAAAAACTAGTAGCCCTGAAACATACTGGAGGCATACGAGACTATGTCAGACAGTTCTCAACCCTGATGCTAGATATCAGGGGCACATCAAAGAAGGACAAGGCGTTCTTCTTTATAAATGGGTTACACCCGTGGGCCAAAACAAAGCTACACGAGAATAAGGTCCAAACCCTAGCTACCGCAATGGTCTGTGTCGAGAGACTCCTAGACTATGGGAACGAAGCGGGATCACAAAGAAGAATGATACCAACCCCAAACACTGGGGGCAAGACATACAAGCCACCAGGTCATCGAAATGGAATCCCCAACAGACCGAACGGAGGTAACGACAGACCAAGCGGATGGACGGATAGACCTCCTCAGAACAACCAAGCGGGGACATCTCGAGGACATTACCATCAAAGGAACCACCCGACGACGCCTTTACAATGCATGTTGTGTAAAGGTCCCCACAAAGTATCTTACTGTTCTCATTGGGTCTCTCTCACTGCGCTCCAAGTGTCCATTTAAGAGAGAAATGACGCAAGGGTCGAGACTATGCTAGACAAGAAGGAAAATCAAGACAATCCCCCGAATGAGCGCGCTTAAATTCTTGTCAGCCCTCCAACGGAAGGTCGAACCGAAGGAGATAGTAGAGAAAGGGCTCATGTTCGTAGATGCGACAATAAATTCTCGACCGAGCAAAAGCACTCTGATAGATTCAAGAGCGACTCACAACTTCATCGTCGATCAAGAAGCCCGAAGATTGGGACTCACTATAGGAAAGAACCCGAGGAAAATGAAAGCTGTTAACTCTGAGGCCTTGCCTATTGTGGGAGTTTCCAAAAGAGTCCCCTTCAAAATAGAGGATTGGACAGGAGAGCTAGATCTTGTCGTAGCTCGCATGGACGACTTTGACGTGGTACTTGGGATGGAGTTTCTCCTAGAATAAAAAGTTATCCCAATGCCGCTGACAAAATGCTTAATCATCACCGACCGCAACCCCACAGTAATACCTACAAGCATCAAGCAACTAGGTAATTTTCGAATGATCTCGGCCATACAATTGAAAAGGGGACTCGCACGAGAGGAACCTACATTTATGGCCATACCATTGATGAAAGTAGCGCCACCGAAGAAACTGTCCCAAATGAAATCAAGGAGGTACTAAACAGTTATGCTGACATAATGCTGGAGAGCTTACCTCAAACATTACCACCTCGTCGAGGCATTGATCACGAAATCGAACTCATCCCCGGGGTTAAACCGCCAGCGAATAACGCATATCGGATGGCTCCGTCCGAGCTAGCCGAATTAAGGAAGCAACTAGATGAGTTGCTGAAGGTGGGATTCATCCGCCCGGCAAAGGCACCCTACGGAGCCCCCGTACTGTTCCAGAAGAAGAAGGATGGGACGTTGCGTCTGTGCATAGACTATAGAGCCTTAAAAAAGGTGACGATACGCAACAAATATCCACTGCTAATAATATCCGACTTTTTCGACCAACTTCACGGGGCCAAGTACTTCACGAAGTTAGACTTACGATCAGGGTATTACCAAGTACGTATTGTCGAAGGGGACGAGCCCAAGACGACGTGTGTAACAAGATATGGGGCCTTCAAATTCTTAGTAATGTCCTTTGGCTTGACAAACGCCCCAGCTACTTTTTGCACATTGATGAACCAAGTTTTCAACGAATACTTGGATCAGTTCGTCATAGTATACCTCGACGACATAGTGGTTTATAGCACAACCCTAGAGGAACACAAAGTGCACTTGAAGCTGGTGTTCGACAAGCTACGACAGAACCAACTGTATGTCAAGAAAGAGAAATGTGCATTCGCACAAACATGCATCAACTTCCTTGGACATATTGTCAAATGTGGACAGATTAGTATGGATAGCGATAAGATAAAAGCTATCCAAGAATGGAAGGTTCCTACTTCCGTATCCGATGTGCGGTCCTTCTTAGGATTAGCCAACTACTATAGGCGGTTCATCGAAGGGTTTTCACGACGAGCTGCCCCATTGACAGAGCTGTTGAAGAAAGACCACCCTTGGTCGTGGTCAAATGATTGTCAAATGGCCTTTGAAGATATGAAAACAACCATGACGAGGGGTCCTGTCCTAGGATTGGTAGATGTTACAAAGTCATTTGAAATAGAAACAGATGCTTCCGACTTTGCCCTAGGTAGGGTTCTTATTCAAGAAGGCCACCCCATCGCTTACGAAAGTCGAAAGCTCAATGACGCCGAACGTAGATACACTATCTCCGAGAAAGAAATGTTGGCAGTAGTCCATTGCCTTCGAGTCTGGAGACAGTATCTCTTGGGATCAAAGTTCGTAGTGAAGACGGATAACAGCGCTATTTGCCACTTCTTTGATCAACCAAAATTGACGGCAAAACAAGCCCGGTGGCAGGAGTCGTTGGCCGAATTCGACTTCAAGTTCGAACACAAAGCAGGTAAGAGTAATCAAGCAGCTGACGCACTGAATCGGAAGGGCGAACATGCGACCCTGTGCATGTTAGCCCATATTCACTCAAGTAAGATCGATGGATCAATGCATGACATCATCAAGGAACATTTACACAAAGACCCATCGGCTAAAGCCGTCGTCGAACTAGCTAAAGCTGGGAAAACACGACAGTTTTGGGTTGAGGGAGACCTTCTGATGACAAAAGGAAACAGATTGTATGTCCCAAGAACGGGAAAACTGAGGAAGAAGCTCATTCAGGAATGTCATGATACCTTATGGGTCGGACACCCTGGGTGGCAAAGAACATACGCCCTAATAAAAAAGGGGTACATCTGGCCAAACATGCAAGACGACATCATGCAATACACCAAGACGTGCCTCATCTGTCAACAGAACAAAGTCGAGAAAGCCAAAGTCTCAGGACTCTTGAAACCTCTACCTGTGCCGACAAGACCCTGGGAAAGTGTATCTCTGGACTTCATAACACACCTCCCAAAAGTCGGGGAATATGATGCTATCTTGGTTATCGTAGACCGATTCTCAAAATATGCAACGTTCATCCCCACTCCCAAATTATGCTCGGCCGAA